TTGCCTGTTGAACAATTCAACATTCAAAACCTAGAATTTTACCTGAGTTCTAAAACTGACCTATGGCACTGGTTGTGAATCTGGACAGGCCAAAGTAAATTTTTCCCCTTCATCTATTTCTAAAACCAATATTCCCCCAGAAGATTAAATTATTACAAAGGATAATTTGTGCATGTATATTTTAGGAGACACACACACACATATATATATATATATATAAAATACTGCTAGTGTTTATATTTCTGAGATTGTAACTACATATTCTCCACATTTCAGCTGTTGTACACACCACTCTTCTTCAGATGATATGCATTGGAAATTCCAACATCTCCCCTCCTGAAGAAGGCCAGAGCATAAACTGGCTGAAAGATTATGAATACAGCAATAAAGATGAGGACAACAGTCTGAATGATGTAAATAGTATAAATAATGCTACTGCTATTGATATACATAAAATTATATAATCTGACATATCAGTAATATCAATTCTGCCAATAAAGTGCTCAATATTTGACTAGAGAAATAATTATTGAATCAGAAATAATACATGGATAAATATTGGACTTTTGATTCAATAATAATTAAAAAGACACCTATCAAAATATGTAAAAGTTACTATGATTTAACATATTTCAAGACCAGCAGAAGAATTTTTGTCCCAAAAATGCTCAGTAGATAACTTATTTCATCTTATCAATCTAGTTATTTGAATATTTTATTTGTATGTGTGTGCATGGATTTAGACAGCAAATCTTCATTTAAACATGTTTTATTGAACAGAAAAGACAAATTATTTCAGCTACATTCTACAGTATTATTCTCTAATTAATGGATTCATTTCTGAATGTATTGAACAATAGCAAATCCTCAGTCCCTCCTCTTTTCAATCCATTTGAAATATTGACATCTACTGCAGATAAGGTAGAGTGCTATGCTTGGAAGTTATCTTCCAACTCCACTCTCGACTCATCTGGACTAGGGCATCCCTGCTAGATTTTCTCCCTAGAATTGAGACTACTGAGTGATATGCACGTAATAGCATCACTGGTTTCCAACATCATTTCTAAATTAAATTCCCACAAGGCAAGTGGATGTGATGGGATACCTGTTGTCATCCTAAAGAAATGTGCTTCTGAGCTGGCTTCTGGTCTCCAAAATTTACAACAAATGCCTCACGGCTTCCTCTGTAGTTCCAGTCTGTAAAAACTCTGAATTCTCAAACTATTACCCAATTAGTCTCTTATCCATTTTTTGACAAAGTATTTGAGGCCCTAATCAATGATGAAATTGGTTAAGCATCTTACTTTGCCCAACTTCCTTTCAGAGAAATAATATGGCTTCTGTTTCACCAGGTCTACTACTAACATGTTAATGGCCATCACTGACTTTACCTATCAAGCCTTAGATATGAATGGTGATGCTCAGGCTGTGGCTCTAGATATTTCAAAGGTGTTCAACAAGTTTTGACATGTTGGCTTTCTGTGGAAGATGAAGAGCTACAGTGACATGGGATGAATATTTGGCTTAATCCAATCATTCCCAATAAATTGTGTAATGAAGGTCCTATTGAATGGGCAGACTTCTAGATCATTTCATCCTAACATGGGTGTGCCCCAGTGCTCTATCAATAGACCTACGCTGTTTCTGATCTTCATCAGTGATCTCCCCAATGTCATCAGTTTTCATCTAGGTATTTATGCAGATGACACAAACATTTATTCCTGTTTTAGTAGCAAATCCAACAGACCCGACAATGAAAACCTGGCAACTGCTCTTGAAAAGGTCCTCCAATCAGTGCTTAATTAGGGCAAGAAATGGTGTATAAATTTTAATGCCTTTGAAACAAAACTGATTTAATTACCACAGAAAAACTTTTCTGCCTACCATCAGCATAGTTAAACTCCAAGAGAGCTATACTGTATACCTTCTTGACCTCATGTTTTTCACTGACATGACGTAGAGTGACTATATCAAATTGACTATGTTTACTGCAAGGAAAGTTGGTTCAATGTATTGTGTCAGATTCTGACAAGAAAAATTTTCTATCTTGTATATTTATATATCTACCAATCATCTGTGCATTGAATACTGTTGCCATAGCTGGTCTGTCAAGGCTCTTGAGATGTACAGCAGGAGCAAGTCCAAAGAGGGATCTGTAATGTAATCAATCCTGGCCAAGCATCTTGACTTCAGTCATTTTCTCACTGACATAATGTGACTTCCCTCTGTCTTTTCTACAAATATTTCATGGAAACTCTTCTGATGAGCTTTTTTCCTGTTTCCCTGACTCCAAGAATTGAAGGCTGCTACTAAATTAGTAAACTGTAACCCCCTGCATTCTAGTCTCATTAATGCTTTGCTTGGGGTGAAACAAAAAAAGAAAAAAAAAGAAGGAAGTGTATGTAGTTAATATCAATTTATTTAATAATTCAAGTTTTCAACTGACTTCAGTCATTGTCAAGAATTAAAGTCCTTTTTGTTAAAATCCTGTGATAATTTTGTACCTCAATTTTTAACATGATGCATTAGATATTTTAAATTGGTGAATATTTGATGTTATGCAAAGACAGTGTTATTTTCTAATTTAAATGTTAATGATTGATGTTATGTGAATGTGCTGTCATGTAGCTTCTGAGAATTTAAGCATAATTTAGGAACATGCAAGTGATTTTGCTAATTATTGTTGTTTAAATACAAATAGCTTATAAAATAAATTCTAAAAACATTACAAATTTTATAAGTATTATTGTATCTTCAGGAAGTCATATTTGCCATTTATAAAATATAACACATAAAAATACTACACTTTGATGTTATACCATGAACACATAAGCTCTTGATTGTAAACAGAAATGCCTCTCTCTCTCTCTCTCTCTATATATATATATATATATATATGTGTGTGTGTGTGATCAATTTTGTCATTTATTATTAATATACCAGTGTATTGTAGTCCTTCATGGCTGAGCAGTAAAGCATGCCAGATCAAATGATAATTTCCCTTACAAAGACATATACAGGTTCATTTCCTGCTGAAGGATACATTTTCTTTTAGATTTCTCAGATGCACAGGCTGATAGATGCCCCATTTTTTATTTATTAAACAGTGTGTCCTACATATATTTCAAATTATTGTATAGTTGTATCTGTATAAATTAAATAAAATACATCGATCTCTTTTTTTGTGGATCAGTTCAAATATTTTCATATTACTTGGATCCACTTGAATTATATACCAACGGATTTTTTACCTTACTGTATATATAATTTTTTTTTTTTAATCATTTCATCCAAGCAAGGCAACAAAGCAACTAAGATGCAGTGGGGATGAGTAAACACTTAGAATATGAGGAAAAGAAAAACATTAACAAGTGGGAACAATAAAAGAAACTAAGACAGAATATAATGATTGACATTGCATTTAAATTTTTGAAGATCAAAGTTGGCTAGAAAGCCAGAAATGAGTTCCACAAGTGAGAAGTGCAATAAAAGAAACTGTAATTTGATGAAATCATGCCACCAATTTATTACTGCACTTAAATTCAGTCTAGGTACCATAGAGGAAAGCTCATTATTTGATCCTGCTTACTTTGCCACAAAGGACTTCACAGTAATCAAGGCTCTTTTTATACTATTTTAAGGAAAGCACATCCCCTTCACTAAGATCATATTTCTCGAGTATCCTTATTTGCTCAGATTTGTGTCTGAAATGTAAACAAAGCAATTTCTAAAAAATTAATGGATTTATTTTTAATGAAACATTTTTATTACTGCAAATATTATTATAAATGGAACTTCTTATCTGAAATAGATGCTCCATTTTTATTTACTTCTTAAACAGTGTGACATACATTATTCAATCTGCACATATGTGTAGACAAAATCTGTATAAGATATGTTTTTTTTTATTGAATGTTGTAACATATTTCAAGACTTCTATCCCTTGATCAAGCAAAAGTTATACATTGATTTAATTTTAAGTTCAATTGCCACTAGTCTTGGGCATGACAATAAACTACATCCAGCAGCAAGTCCTCTGATTAGGTTGACTGGAGATTTTGATGGGTGTGGTAGGACTTCTTAATTAATCCTGTTCCCAGGTCCACTTTGACCCAGTGTGGTAGCACCTGTTGGGGCCCTAGCTATGAGCAAATACTGAACCCCCCAAACAGAAACAAAACATTATGAAAGTATAAAAATAAAAATACCAACAATACATATTTATAGTAAAATTACCAGCAATAACTTTATAGTATATATTTAGTTAAAGCCATAAAAATATGTTCAGATATTTAGAGAGTCTAAACAAAATCAACTGCCACAGTAACAATCTTAAAGAAGGACAACAAAATAAAGTGGAAGATTTTATACAACTGAGTTGTGATAATTCTACAAAATTATTTTTCCATTCTCAAGACTGTCATATGTCTACAGTTATATTATGTTGATTAAATGGTTCTATCTTATTTTTCAATAACTTTCACTTCATATATAAAAATGAGTTGCTGCAAAGTTCTTGGCCAAGCTCTTTCAAAAGTCAATTTGTTGTTTAGTCAGATTTAAGGAAGTGGGTCAAGTTGTGAACATTTCAGAAATGCTTTGCCGATATCATTCATGAAGCATACAGAAGAGAAAACAAAAAAACAATCAACTAAGCAATATTGAATGATAAAAGAGAAAGAGAAAAAAAAAATTCAAAAAATAATAGATATAAATAAATCTATAAGAAAAAAAGTGATCAGTTATAGAAACTTCTTTGTAATCCTAGATTTGAGAAATCTACAGTTTATTGAATTATTTGATTCTAGAGCTACAAGTTTTTTTTTGTTTTTTTTTTATAGATATGTGTATTTATTTATAAAGAAAAGAGAAAAATTTTGCCAACAGAGAACATTATTTTTTTAAGCTGTTGAGATTGTAGCTAACTAAAAAAGAATAAATTCTTAAAATGCAAGAAGAAATAAAGATAAAAGAAGGAAGAAATGTAGCTGAGGAGTGACAGTACAGTAGGGAGAATGTTGCCAAGGAGTGACAAGGGTGGAGGAAAGAGTGTAGCCAAGGAGTGATAGGGGAGAGGGATACCCTGGCCTAACAGTGATACTGTGGTCTAGGTGTGTTGGAAAGAAAAATGACCTAAAGAGTGGCATGGCAGAGGGTATGGTGGAATGAAAACTGGCCAAAGGAGTAAAGAGGGGGGTTAGGTTTGTAGCTGAGAAAGATTTTTTGAATTTAAGCTAAAAATATCAAGAAAACCAAAATGAAATTTCCGTCTCTCATTTCAGGGAATTATGTACTATTTTAATTATTGATATATGTTTTTCCAATGACATTTTAGAACAAGAATATTATTTTAAGGACAGACGAAGTGGAAAAAATATTCATATACACACACGCACACAGATGATTGGATAAAAAACAAATTGGAAACATTTAACAGTCATTATAAATGTTTCCTATTTATTCTTTATCCTCTCATGCACACACACACACATTTATTTATATATATATATATATATATAAAATTGTGTATTTAGGCAGCAATCCCTCGTTTATACAAGTTTATTTTATTTATTTATTTTTTTAAATGACTGGTAAGAAATTGCAGTTAATTTTTCTTGTGTTTTTCTTTCTTTTTTCTTTTCTGGATTTAAATTATATAGAAAATGTCTGGTTGTTCTGTATGCCCAAGTGCTTTCGACTATACTTTTAGCCATTATCAAGGATGATTTTATTTTTACTTTTAACTGAATGTATAGATTTTTAATGTATGTATTTCGAGTTATAGGAATGTTTTTATTTTAAAAGTTTAACCACAGTTCCATATCAGTCAATGTTAATGAAACCGATTTCTAAAGAATTGTTTTTTTTATTTTTTAATTTAGAATATTTGTATTACTTCAATCTTTAATTTTTATGCATACCCATATTTGAGTAGACACTCCATTTATTTTAAACAGTATTTATTTATTTCATCTACTGGTCTGCACACTCAAGAAAAAAAATATATATGTATGTTTGTGTATAATGTGTATCCATATATATTTATGATGGGGGTGCTTCAAATTTTCTTTGACCAACCTAACTGTCCCAAAATTTGACCAACTAGAATTTTTTTCTTGAAAGATCTTGGTGAGGTTGAGAATTTTTCAGTGTCCCCTCATCTGTATGCTGGTTTTTATTTTTTATTTAGAATCACCCCAAGCAAGGCAGTAATGCAACTAAAACACAAGTGGTTACAGGGTGTGAGAGAATTAGGAACAGAAACATTAACAATGAGAGGGAAGAGAAAAGAGTAATCAGGAGGACAGTAGATAGCAATTGACATTGCATTTAAAGTTTTGCAGATTAAAGTTGGCTGGAAAGAATGGAGCCAGAGGGGAGTTCCACAAGCAAGAAAAGAAACTGTTAGCATACAATTTATGGTTATATCTTGCCAGCTAAACTGTAAATTGATGAAATCTCAATGCGAGTCTGCACTGTGTCTAAATTAAAAAAGTCTAGATAGCATAGAGCTCATCTGAACAATTACCATGAAAGTATAGAAAAAACAGAGGCTACCTTACGGTGGTGGGAAAGTGACTGAAGCAGAGCCACCAGATCGGGACCAATAATATTGCGCATTCTTATTTGGATCTTATCAACGAATCCAAGGTAAATAGCAGGGGCCCAGACCATATGTGGCAGCAATATTCTAACCATGGACGAATGGTAGACTTATCGATATGTAAGATAGATTCTGGAGAGAAAAATTGTCTTGCCTGACATAGTGAACTATTTTTCTTAGCAACTGACCTAGCAATGGATTCAATATAGTCTTTCATATCAGCAGAGGATGTGAACCTGAGAAGGTGCAACACATCACTTTCCTGGAGGATAGCATCAGCCACGCTGATGGAAGGCAACGAGGGTCTATCAGATGATTAATAGAGGGAAGTTTAATTTTGGAGGCACTAACCCAGTTAACTATGGACTTGAAGTTGTTTTGCACATCACCTGCCATTTTGACCTTACTATCAAGACAGGTGTAAACTGTTGTTGTCAGCATAGATACCAAGTTGAAAGCTGATATCATCAGGAAGGTCATTAATGAAATTTAAAAATAGAATAGAACCAAGGATGGAGCTCTGAGGAACACCTGCCTTAGTACGAAAGGATCTTGATGAGTGGCTATTCAGTCTTTGATAGGAAAGACTGGATAAGTTAAAAAAAAAAGTGTCTGGAAACACCATAACTTTTCAGCTTATACAGAAGACCTGAATGCTAGACCCTGTTAAGGGCTTTCAAGAATTCTAATGTAACAGCCCAGGCTTAACCATTTTTATCTAGAGTATAAGCTCTTTCTGCAAATATTGTCAGTACATCAGCTGTTGACCTGGATAAACAAAAGCCATATTGCTTGTCTCAAAAAAAAAAAAAAAAAAAAAAAACGTCCTGTGATGAGAGATGATGAATAATTCAGCATTGATTAGGGCCTCTAGGAGTTTCCCCAGAAAGAAATAGAAGGCTAATAGTTGGAAAGGTCAGATGGCTCACCAGTGTTCTTAAACTGGAACAACAGATGATGACTTGCAGGAGGAAGCAAGGCATTTATTATACAGTTTAGAGAGAACAGGAGCCAGTTCAGGAGCACATTTCTTAATGACTATTACAGGAATCTATGCTAGAGATAATAGCAGAAACCATGGAAGGTGTTATATGCATATCACTCAACAAAGAATCAGTTCTCAGAGGGAAGTTAGGTTATGATAATAAAAGCATTTATTTTATAGAACACTTATTTTCTTTGTCAGTGCACTTGATTCAGGGGATGAATATTAATCAGGCAGCACCGATATGAGAGAGCTGTTGGCTCAAGCAAAGGTTTTGGTCAGATTTAGGACAGTATGTCATGTTAGGAAACTTCCATCAGTTTTTCATACATGCCAGGCTAGAGATTTATTGATCTGCCTTTATTGTATATCCCAAAAAGGCACTGAAAATTTCTCAACAAAGGAATTTTTTTAAAAAAATCTGATGTTTAGATATTTTTCAGGGAGTGAGTCAGGACAAAAAAAAATGTCAAACATTCTTATAGTGGATATTTCATATTTGAAATAGACACTCGGTTTTTTTTTTGTTTTGTTTTTTTTTAATTTTTTTAATTTTTTATTAAACAATGTGTATTACATCTATCCACCTATACTTTTGAGAAATCTTAAAGAAAAATGTGTTAGCCAGTAAGGATTGAACTTGCACCCTTATTTGTCAGGTGAACCACTATTTGATTTGGCATGCTTTACCACCAGGTATTGAAGAATGTCACAGCAAGCCAGGTTCTATTTTTTCTTTTTTTTTTTAAGGAAAGCTCATCTTCACTTACTTTTCTCAAAAGCTTCATATCTGCTAAGTTTGGGATCTGAAAAGTAAACAAAGTAATTTCTAAAGAATTATTGGGTTGGTGGATAATTATCAGGCGTTTTTGTAGGCGAGTTACTTGTTAATAAGATTTTCTGTTTTGTTTACTTTTTTTAACAAAAATATTTTAAAATGTATGTTGATAATCATACTCATTTAAAAATGTTATTGTTATGTTTGTTTTTTCATAGTAAATATTGTTTAAAAACGCCTGATAATTATGCACCAACCCAATATTAATGAATTTATTTCTAATCAAGCATTTTTATAACTTCAGTCTACTTTATCCACTATAATAACATTTTAAGAACATATGAGCAATGACTAATTTTTATGTAAAATGGGAACTACAAGGAAATTGATACCGACAATCAAAAAGAGACTTGAAATTTCTGGGTCACATAATTATGAAAGAGAGCCTAGAAAGTTTTAGTCACAGGACATTAACAGCAAGAAAAACAGGGAATAACAACTAGTAACCTACTTAATGAGAGTGTGAATAGATGGCAAAGGGTTTAAAACTTACTTATAGCAAGAGAAAATAGATAGTTATGGAAAGCCATAATCACCAACATCCTAAAAGAACTTTTCTTTTTTTTTTTTTTTTTTTTTATACAATGATGTTCATCCTGTACAAGGCCCAAAAAGCCACTTGAGGTAGAGGTTTACAGAGTAAGAGGCACTGTTTATGGAGATATGTGTTTGTGGAGACATGTGTGGAAGATAACTATTCACTCTAGACTTGAACAGGTTAATATTCTAATGATCAGGGAAGCATCCTCTTGGGAGTCAGTTTGATAAAGCAGTGGTTTATGTGAAGAATCTGCTTGAGTGGAGCTTACATCTTGCCAAAGGAATACAAAGGGAATGAGGGTGGTTCACTATAATGTGCCTAGCATGTCGGGTGTTAGGCAAGATGGTTAGAACTGGTAGAACTAAGGAATGTAGTTTGCCTAACGCCTTCCATAGAAATAGCGATAGAGCAGCAAAAAACTTGCAACATTTTATAAAAAAGAAAATATATGTATATGACTATAGACATGTGTATGCATACACACAACAAATTAGTTTAATGAAGGATTACATGTATAATTTTATTAACAAGATATAAAATAACGTTTAATATCAAAGTAACACATGAATGAATGCAAGCAACTTTACTCATTTTTCCAAATCTTGTGACATGGCTTCAGTAACGTGTTATATAATGGTTTAGTGATACAAGTCTTACTAATTAACCTATAGCTGGGGGAGTTATATATGAAAATGGAAAACAATATTCAAGCAAAGAATCCTTTGCAAGTAATGTTAGTCACAAACAGTAGAAAAGTGAATTATATCAATGAATGAAAGACTGATGAAGGTTATAGAATGGAAAGAAGCCAAGGTAAAACTTGCAAGTTCATATTAACAAGTAATACAAATATTCATTCACTTTTAAGAGATGTGTTATTCAAATATGCATTTCTAGAGCCTATATCTTTTTTAATTTATTTATGAATAAAAATTTAAGGTTCTATTATACAAACAAAGTGTAACAAAAATATTATTAGTTGAAACTCACACGATATCTTGGTCATATTAGTATACAGTAAAACGTTTACCAACTTTGTTTAGTTAACAATTTCATAATAACATTTGTAATCTTTATGTATCTTGTACTTTTGTTTCCATCCTTGTTCATTTCATGTCCATACCTGTCCAAATAAGCTCTCATCATTTCCAAATAAATTCTACACACGTAGCAATATCA